CTGGAAGCCGGCACCGCTGCCGCCGCCGCCGCCCCCCGCAGCCCGCTGCCGGCTTCCAGCATCGTAGGCCGTATCCGGCCGCCCGCTGCCCCCTATGACGCAGGCATCGCGCTGCCGCCACCCGGAGCCGGCACCCCGCTGCCCCCCTCGCACGCCTGCACCCCGCTGCCCCCCGCCGCTGCTCATGCACGCACCTGGTGCCGCCTCTGACGTCACGCTCCTCGATGCCGACCTCCTGGTCATTGCCGATGACGGACCCCGGCTTCTTCTTCTGCAATCCAGATCCCCCGCACCCCACTGACACTTCTTCAGCGTGACCTTGGAGCTGCTGCTGGAGACCTGGTGCCAGCTCCGGATGGCGGCAACCCGGTGGCAGCCTGGAGTGACCTTGAAGTGGCTATGAATGCCCACTGCTATACTACTGACAATAATCAACAAAAACAAAATGCCGTACAAAAAAATTGTTCTAAATGGCTTGAAATATATTTTTGCAAATAAGTATTACTTGCCAGAATTGATTTTATTTTTACTACTATATTCTCCTTAATATAAATTATTTACTACTGTACGGCCTTTCTATAATAAGACTTACAATATCATATAGAAATATTTTTCAGTAATGCCGTACATATTTGTCGATACAGGAGTGAGAAACCCCGGATGCAAACCCCTATATTCTGACCCTAATGGTTTCCGAACATTAAAAAGTGGTCGGCATTGTCGCTAAAACATTATTTAAGATGTGAAATAATTTTTAAGTAATATGCCGTTAAAAACCCGTAGGTCAATATAAAAATTATTAATTTTATAAATTTGAAAAGCTTGTATATTAATATTTGTTTTTTCACAAGTACCTACATAAGTAAAATTTTGCATTGCAATTTTCATTCTTTATGTTATATTTCTGATGAAAATTTGTAAATGCCGTGTAGTTATTAATGACCTAAAAATGTAGTAAAAATTTAATGAAAAATATTATCAATTATGTAAAATTCACTGGTTGAAAATGTACGGCATTGTTTTTTTTATTTTTTTACTTATGAAAAGTCAATTACAGCCATAATATTTTGAATATAATATTTTTAGTTTATAACAAGGAATTTTCACAATTTATTTATTTGTTTTTTAATTCGAATTTTTAATTTGTACCATTAATTATAACCGGCCATGATTTAGTACGATAGTTTTTGGTTATATTTTATCAAAAAAGTGGTTGCTGTACAAGAATTAATGATCTTATATCGAAAAAAATAAAACTCAATTCCAAAATACAAGTAATTGTTTACAAACTTTTGCATTAACCATAATTTTCAGACGGCACAGTTGCTAAGAATTATTTGGGGAGTTAAATAATCATGTGGAATCGATGCCATTTTTCAATGACTTGAAATAATGGGGGCCCTGCATTTCTAACCCTTGTATCAGCAGATACGTACGGCGTCACTAAAAAAGTTATCTACGTATCAATCCGAAACTTGCAGTATAAATGCCGTACTGTGGTAAATCACCAAAAAACCGGGCCAAAATTTTCAGAAAATCCAAAACTTTCCTAGCTTCCGGTATTGCTATTTTTGTACGGCATTAGGTCGAGGTTCATTTTTCTTGTATAACCTATATACTTTAGAAGTGCCGTACAAAAATGTTTTGCCGAAACCCCCCCTATTTCATTTATTTCGATAGTAGGCTGTAGGCTGATATCTATTTTAATTTTTTCTTTATTTTTTTGGGTATTTTGCCTTCTGTGAAAAATTTTAAAAGAATTAGTCCTTGAGCCAAATGGATCAGTCAAGGATTATTTTTATGACCGCAGACAAATATAAAATACAAAAACACACGAACATTTATTATTGGGCATTTTAAAAAGGTCGTTAACTTTTCGAAAATCCACTGTTTTCGTTTTCTGAACATTTTTTGGCTTTTCATTTTAACAGTTTTGATAGTTTTATTAAAACGAAATCAAAAAAGTTCTGAAGATGAAAACAGCGGATTTTTGAAACGTTAACGACCTGTTTTTGTATTTGTCTGCGTTTTACAGTGTGAGATTTTTGTTTAGGCAAAACTACTTTCATAAAAATAACCCTTGACTGGGTTATTTTACTAATTTTTTTTAAATTTTTTCACAGGTGGCAATATACCCAAAAAATAAAGAAAAAATTGAAAATTATTCCACAAATAAATAACTTTAGATCTATTTTAATTATAACATAGACTATTTCGATTGCAAATGCAATAATAAAATTCTGTGTAAGGAAAGATTTTGACTTTAATTAAAAAGTTATAGTCCAGTCGGCAGACGCGATTGCGGTCATTTTCCATAAACCCAAAGTTTTTGTTAAGAGCTAGTATCTATTTAGACGTTTTGAACAGAGTCAAAATTGTATTTATTCTTGAATACTTATAGATTAAAACACATCGAAATTAATCATCATTATTTTATGTATTTATTTATTTATATTGCTCTTCGACGATTTTTCGATTTTTCCCATTATTTATTTTTCCTCACTCTTGTGCATTTTAATGTTATGTTCTATGACATATTCGAAACCGGTTTAAAAAAAAATGGGGTTTCTGGATAATTACTACTTCTGAACACCTGCCCACTGGACTATAATGTTTAGAGGTTAGACATCCATTGTTTGCAACTCTCACCTATTTATAAATCTATTATCACTTTTTTACAATTGTATTTTGGCAACAATTTCAAATGTTTGCATGAAAGATTCCGAGATCAAATTACTGTTACTTTGAGTCAAATCGAATTATAAAAAATGGTTGTTTCTTTATACGGTGTGCTCTGTGTGTATTATCTGCGTCCGAAACCTTTTTCTTAATATACGTTAATATTCTTTTGTTGCGTTATAATTCTATTTTAATAAAAATAATATTGTACAATATATAACTTTTATCACATTTTTTAGCACATTTGAAAATATAGATTATTATACACACCTAACCTTTGTTGCAACCTTTCTCAAAGTCTGTGACTCCTTAAACGAATCAGTAACTTTAAAATAAAATATTAGCAACTATAATTATATACAAAATCAGCAGTATACACATTTATATAGTAATATTTTTTAATACATATATTTTATAGTTAGGAATGATATGTTCTTCTTATATATAATTTCGGTTCATCCTTCCAGAAAGACCAACAAGGAAACTGCCAAAATCTTTTAAATAGGCCTCTATTCCCGTTCTTATCAATTATTATTAAATACTGTTATTAAAAAAAGTAAAAAAAGTACTTGGCATTGACAGTGAAAATATATTTTGATATATTTCAAATTTAAATTCGTAAAACGTATTTCCCGACTTAATTTGTCTTGTGCGTAACTAGCGAGAACACGAGGTTTTAAATTAACGTAATTTTGGTTGAAAACATAGAAGAAATATTCAACTCCAAACTTGAGGTTAACAGCGCCGTTACAGAAAACTCTGTTAGGCCTATTCGTCAGTTGCTGGGCATTTTAGAGGGACAACCCTTTCTCTAACATTAAACTAGTATTTATTCTAATATCTAGTAAGTATATACGTCCCAGGGTAGAGTTACAGATAACAGAACAGTTAGAGATCGATTAAGATCTAAATTTTGTAGTTTTGAAAAATCTATAGGCACTAATCTAAAACATTCAATAAATGTTAGCTGGGACACTTATCGATGTAGAGAAAGATCAAATATCGTTAAAGCAAGAAAACTTTATGAACTAAAAAGTACCTTAAGAAGTAAATAACAGTGAATGAGTATATGTGACCTTCCGCTACATGTTGCAGATTGAAATCACCATGGAATGGTACTAACATCTTATAAATAAATATATACCTACTCTTGACTTGTTATGTAACATACCTAAACCATTAAAGTATCATCTTTGAGCTACACAGTTAGGCCTATTTTTATTCGCACTCTCTTAATGATTTAAAGTACAGTTACATAGCAATCTTTGTCTCTTAAAGACATTTTTTTTGCTAATTTAAACTATATAATGTATAACAAAATATCACAATAACTAAACATATTCTCCCGTCAGTCATTTTTTATATTAATAAAATATTTAATATGTTCAGAGAATATGTCGCTAAAGAAAAACTCTACTTAATAATACTTACAGATTGTCTTAAAAAATAAATTAACTAATATCAAACAAATATAATTTTAAAATACGAAGCTTGAACAAAGCGATTGTGAAGAGTTTGAAACCCTTCCAACACTGCTGTTCATTTACTCGCAGGCATTTGTAGTTGTAAAAATTTCCCATTGTTTAGATTTATTGAAAAAGAAGAGTACGCTTCATAATTGACAAATTTATTGACAAATTTCGAAATTTATTTCATATTTTGCCTGCCGTTTGAGAGATTTCAATTCATAGTAGGGTTCGTTAAAATGTCCTTTGTTGTAGCAAGCCTTCCAGTTCAGCGTCATTGAATAGTAAATTCAGTGACTGCCTAGAAGACTGCTACACAAAAAAAAGTTAGGTGGTGCAATGAATGATATATTGCAATGTTTCGTTAAAATCGGTCAAAGGTATCAGTCCGGGAACCTGCAAAGAAAACTCAAGTTAACGTTAAGCAATTAGTACTTCTAGTGGTGGCACCGACGAGCAGTTCTAACGATATTAATGGTTTCAAAATGCGCATATCAATTGCACTTTGCGAAATTAACTGTGACAGCAGCACAAACACATCGAGCATACGATCGAATTTCCATTTCGGGGTAGAATTATTGGCATTAGGGATCTAGCAAAAACCCGCAACGTTTAGGTCGATACAGTGTCCCGTTTCGTAATCCGATTCGCCCAATACGTTTGGACACTTCGTTCGAGCCGGGAGAATTGAAACCCACGTAAAAACATACCTCGAAGGGAAAAGCCGAAAGTAGCCGCTATTTTTATAACTTTACGCACATACAAATATTATCTGTAGTGTTACAGATTTTTTACTCATTTTAGCCATAGTTTATTAGACAAGCAAAATGTATTGTGATTTACATAACTAACAGGGTGTAACTAACGCCCTGTACAGATAGTGCCAAATTCAACATCAAATTCGTAATTCTTATACCAAAAAACATAAAGCTACCAATTTCCTAGTTGATACTGATAAAAAATTCCAAAATTATTGAGAAATTTCAAATTAAACTTCCAACTTTGAACACCCTGTACATCGTAAACCTACAATATTTGTATAAGGCATGTTAAGCTCAATCATATCTTGGTGTGTACACTGTAAAAAAATTTCACTCAAATTTCACTCAATATTGTATCAATTTCTATCCACATCCTATTGAGTGAAATGTTCACTCTATTAGTATAAGTACAACTGAGTGAAACTATTGCATCATTTAAAGAGGTAATAGAGGACGTAGAAATAAGCAACCTGCTGTCTAAATTGTTGTGTTCCAATAAATTAATCAAGAATTATTACGTGAAACTTAGGCCGACCCTGCACCGCCTCACTTAATCGATCAACTGTTTATAATGCAGTAACTAGGTCAAGTTCAGTGTGGTTATTTGACTTAAGTTGTTTAATTTCAAAATGCCTTCTCCGAATCAAGTATTAGCGGAAATGGTATTAATGCACGGTGAATCATTGCCCCATTGCTCATCAACCAAATCCCAGAGCAGTGCAAAACACTATTCAAAGACTGCGAAACACCGGCAGTATGAAGGTAGTGGTCAAGAAAAACCGTAACGTGTTTTAAATATTGAGGAGGACATTTTATACCTTGTCGAGGGAAACCTGAGCCGCAGTACCCGCGACATTGCACGTGAAATGGATGTTTCCAATATCACTATGTGACGTGTGTTACTGCACTCTTCTCATGTACAACTCGTGCAGGCTTTTACTGTAAATGATTTTCAACAGCGTGTAGAATTTTGTCGTTGGTTTTGGCAGCAAGAGTCACATCAACTAAATTATACAAACACAGTATGGTTTTCGCAGATGATTGTAATGAATAAGTGTAATGCTAATCTTGTACAAAATTTACGTTTTCAGCTGGTGTGAGTTTTTAACAAATACCCTTCTTGATTTATTTGATGACATGCAAGGATAGTTTTTATGCACGACGGTAAATGCACTTAGTTCAGAAACACCCTGTATTTTGGCGCTGGTATCGTAGTTCCGCCCCAGCCGCCGCTGTAAATCGAATAATGGGGGAAAAGTTTCCCGCGAAATTTCTGAAATCCCCACGGAGGCCGACTAGCTCAAAAGGAATTAGACCCAACTATAAATATCTACTGCATCCTCTAAAAAGAACGTAATAGCGTACGTGAGTGTTTCATTTTTAGTAGAACGGATGCAGAATTGCGAGCACGGGCAATTGTAAGGGAACATATACAGAATGTGTTTAATGAACCAAAAGAGGAGCCTGAAAATGGAAATGTCCTTTTCTAAACGCCGCTACAATGACCACGAAAAGAAGGATGGGGGACATAGTTTCTCCTTGAATTTTATTTGGAAAGTTCTGTAGGTTTTATTTTGTCTCATTTGCGCGTTTATTATACTTGTAATTTTATTGCTGTCCTCGTGCTACTTTCATATTTTGTATGACCGTTGTTACAAAATGTACGGCTGTGGACAATAAAAAGTTTCCAACTTAAACCATTCGCGGCCCCCTATAAAACAGGACTTTATATGATTTGGTAATGTCGAACCCTTTAAACGTTTTAGATAATAATTGAACAAATAAACCTTTGTTCCGTTATAAATTGTATTTTCTTAATATTTCCAGAACGGCGTAACAGATTGTTTTGAAAGGCGTAGTAAATGCCACTGTCAACCAGGAAAATACTAAAAGTCAGTGACGTGCAATCACCACTATGGTAAACCTTAAAAAAAATGTTCCGCCACTGACTAATGTTAAAAAAATTAATCGAATAAAATCTCTCTACCAAAATGATGTTCTAAAATAATGTATCGCTTATTTATTTTAAATTATTGGAAAACATATCAAAATTAAAAAAAATAACAAAATAAACAATATTAGAGTTAAGGAATTATTTAAGAGGGCTCTATAGCAAATAGCCAACCAGAAATACATTTTACAGACACCGTTTGTCTAAATATGAATTAATGCCCAAATAACAGACTTTCCCTCATTTTAACACAGATTTTCTATAAAATGGACTTACATTAGTTTGAAACTCAAATAACTTTTTGGTGTAAAGAAATCTATTGCTAGTTGCCTATTTGCTATAGAGCCCTCTTAAGTACTTTGCGGTAAATTCGTTTAAACTCATAAAAATAAATCTGGTGGATTTAAATCGGGACTACTTGCAGGCCATCTAACGGGACCAAACTGACCAATCCATCTACCACCAAAATGATTATTTCACCATTTCGCCCCATATATTAATTGAAAATCGTTGCTGGAATTACTTTATTTTAAGAATTCGAATTACCTTATGTATTTTTAAAACGCATTTAAACATTTTAATAATTTCATCTCAAAAATGACTGTCTGCAATTTAATATAAACGGGTTTATTTCACTCTACAGGGTGATTCTGAAATAAGTGCTACTGACGGTATAAATGTTTCTATTTTCGAGAAAAATAATTAAGAAAATTAACCATAAATGTAAGCCGATCCTGTGCATCTTGTGCAGGTGCACGACCAGAATATTTCGGACTCGTTATATGCGTGAAGCGCGTTTCTAATTGGCTAACGTTCCACGTGACTTCCACAATCAAGCAGATCTGATGGTAGGTCAGTAGTGTGTTGCAGTTTTACTTAGTCGGCGTCTAAAATATTTTCTAATCAAGACTAGCGATATGGTGTTAATGTACCTTCCGTTACCGCAACAGACGACAACAGACGTGAACAGTGCAAAAGGCAGTTGAAAGGTTACGTTTATTCGTTTAATTTTTGTGTTACTTTTAAACCAGATTTGAATAAATTTGAGCATTTTCGAACACAAAATTTAGACCCTCAAAACCGCCATCAGCGTTTTCGTACAACGGCGCGCGGCAACTTCGATATCACAGGTACGGCGTCTGCCCCACCAGGGACGGATTCAAATTTGTTTAAACCTTCATATGAGCTTTTTTGTTTCAATTTGAGACCATCAAGTAGAAGTTGCTCATTTTCGTGCTCTTTATCATCCTTTTCAAGGAACGCGCGTGTTTCACAAACACCCTGTATTGGTATTGTTGTAATAATTCATTTTAGTAGAGAAGTATTATTCGATTAATTGTTTTTGTAAATCCATATTGTTACTGAAGAATTTTACTGAAAATATGTAAGGATTTTTGTGGAAAAATTAAAGCTAAATCTAAAAAACAGATTTCCAATATTAGACAGCGGCGCACACATATTTTTTAAAGTTTAAGTCTGTCAAGTTCAAAGCTTGTTTCACTTTTTTTAGTTTGACGTGCTTTTTACAATGTTTATACAAATGTAAAAGTCCTAATTTATTTAGAATGGTTTCCTAAATAAGAACTATGTATACAGTCGGATACCAAAATAATGGGCAGTGATTTCACCTTCAATCCGGCTCAACATTTTTAGCAGTCAACACAAAGAGAAGTACGAGCCGTGTGGAAATTCTTCGTATAAAATTGTGTGTGCCGCATTCTCCCACAGCAATCGATACTGCACAGTTTTAGGAATTCTTCTGCTGCAGCAAATTCTAGACTTTCATTGGTGTTTGATGTGTGACGTCAATTGGGTTGCGTTCATTCGGATACGGGTAATTCTGTCGGCACAGGCAAAGGCGTCCGACAATATCTTTCCGTTAATTTAATTGTGATTGTAATTAATTTATTAGTGATTTTGCTGGATGGTATTTTAAAAATGAGCTTTCGACAATAAAAAAAAATTCAGGCTGCTATCTCACAAGATCAAAATTTGCCTAGAATATCTAGAAGGGTGCTTTTGCGTGACAGTTTTATAAAACGAAATCGTAAGAGTATCCTGATAGAAAAAGAGGAAATAGTGATATGGCGAAGAAACTATTTAAGGCAAGTATTAGAAGCCCGAAAACTAAATCGTAGAACGGACGAAACATGGATAAATGAAGGTGTGGCACGATGGCAATATCCAAAGCAAACGGCTGGCATTTTGGAAGGATTTTCGACTGGATTAAACTCGCCTTCTGGAAATAGGCGGCGCCTAATAATAATAACGCATATCGGAAGTATAGCAGGATTTTTAAAACAGGATGTGTATATATAGTTCAGTGTATTATTATAAGTGATAAAGTGTGATATCCGCGGCGTGCGCATCGGGTGAGTGGGTGGATGTGGGCCATTGCGTCCGAAAGGACGGCACTCAACAATTGTGGAGAGGATGACAGGTATAAGCTTTTAAAGTAAATATTCACCGTGCACTTGTTTTTTATAATTCTCTGTTTTTTGACCCCTTCTCAAGTAGTACGCCTATGGAATATTGTCCCCTGCACCCCCCACCTCCCTTACTCGTCTAAGTGCTGGATATGAATCACTGCCCATTATTATGGAACACGGGTATAGGTGTATTTTTCCCGCCTTTAAATTTAGAGCTACTCGGTGTGCGTCGATTATATTTAAATTTAAATTCGA